GCAAACATAAGAACTGCTACTACGTCTCACCAGGTGATGTCATAGTTTAAGAGAGAAAGAAAGAGTTCTAGAGGGGGATGTAAGGAGGACAGGGGAGGGCAGGGGATGTGATTGAGAGAAAAGCGGCAGGAAAGACGAGAGGGAGGAAGGAGAGAAAATGATGTCATGTTTTAGAGAAGTGTGGGCTATGTCTGTGTGTCTAAACTCTTTCATTAAACTCTGCAGATCTACACTGCGGGTATCAAAAACTAAAGAGGTACCAGTCTTTCTACCACATGAGCTCATCATTTTCGACAGGCTTTTGGAGAAGGACTCACAAATTATAATGTTTAACTTACTCAAAGTCCTGGTGTTCTATTTGGCCAAAGACTAGACACTACATACTTGAGGATGCCGATTTCAAAAACGCAGTCCTTCTCATGCCAGACTATTCCACTCTCCACAACACACTCCCAACAATTTCATGGCACTTGAGACAACGACATTGCATCAAAACAACCACCGCTGTTCTGAGTGTAATCTCCCCCTGAATCTGGCCATGACAGGCAATTTCTGCTTTCAGAATGAAAAACAATGAGTGAAGATACTCATGTCACGCCCCATGAAGGAGGGGGAAGAAAGAAAAACACAGATTTGCAGGGAAAAGGGACAGACGAAGAGACAGGGAAGCAAACAAAGGTAAAAGGCATGGATAAAAAGTAAGGAAGAGTGAGACAGAAACCAATCTAATCCTTCAGCTTAAGCAGCAAGACACTGACCTTTAGAATACTTTGTAAAGAGAGGAATGAGAGAGAGAAAAAGACAAGTCTGGAGGAGAGAGAGAGAGAGATTTGAGGGAGCGGAATCTGAAGATTATTCGGTAAAGGATCAAAACATTGCTGAGCTACAAAGCAGGGTAAAAATCCTGAAATGAGGTGGAAAATAACAGAGGAGTGCCTTTTTGCCAAGATATAACCTGAAGAACACATGCAGAAACTAAACATACACGTTACTTACACTCTTACATCTTAACAATTGTCAGAGTGGGGATGTGATAAGTGTGCTGTCATAGAAGGAACCGGTCCTGGTGAGGTAAACAGAGACTGTCTTTACTAAAAAACTGTTATAAGTATGCAATAGCTTTTCATACCCCATTTTTAATTTATGTTCAAACTGCGACATCTAGTGGTCATAGTATTTATGAAGCAAGCAAAGAAAGAAGACATGTGGAATAGTGGAAAGAGAAGCAACGTCTGCCAGGGCTGGTAGACATGACATCACTTTATGTCACTAACATCATCTATATTATTTTACTCATTATTTACTTCTATAACGTCACAAGGATTTTTATTTTAAGGCAAACCACGATCTTTTCTCCAAACCTAATCAAGTAGTTTGAAGAAGTACTAAGTAAAAGGGATCAGTAATTATTGCTTTGTTTCTACTCTGTTTTCTGACCCTCTGCTACAGTAGTATCCTGAGAGTAACCACTGTGTGAACAAATCAGTAAATAACGTCTTCTTTCTCTGTTCCTCTGTTTTGTTTCCATTAGAATGTCTATGTCTCTTGACCATCACCGCTCTCTCTCTTTCTTTTTTTTTTCCCCAACAGCTCCGGGTTGAATATATGACAGCAGATCTGTATTTTTCATTACTCTTCAATACTCATGAATGCTTGTTTTTAAATCAGTTGTGTGTTATTTACACATAGTGAACATGGTATTAAAAAGCATCGAACATTTTGACAGCCTTATTGTAAAGTACACAGCCACATGTTCGAGGAAGGATGTGTAGCCAACCATGACGATGGGAATACAATATGTGTTATGGTATAGGTTTGAGGACATTATAGGTAAATACACACACAACAACACACACAAGACAAGCACCAACACAATGTTCCAGAACATGAAACACGATCCCACCCTCTTGCAAATGAATGTACTCATACAAAATATATGCAAAGGTAACCAAAAAGCTATCAAAACAACTGAACTACAACCACAGTGAAACATTTTCTTTTGGCCATTTAAGAAATTATTTCACCTCCTGCCCTGTTTTACTGCTAGGTTTCTTTCAAAATGGCAACCACAACAAGTGTATAACTTTAAAGAAAACAAACTACAAACAAAGCCAAAACAGAATACGCTAACAGAAGTGAACTGAACATTTGTATGTGTTGTGAAATAAACATGAAAGGAGTGAAATCTTCTGTGATGAGATGTTCCAATCAATACTTCTGAGCTTAAATCCAATGAAACAAAAAACCTGTGTAGTCTCTGAAAGGTCCTATTTTACGCAGAAAAAAAATAGAGAAGCAAATGTAATCAACATTTTCGAGTCAGAGTAAATCTTAAACCTTAGCAGATTATTTTACAATGAAATTTCTACTGTGACAAGAGGTTGTCTGAGAGAAGAGAAGATGATGTGTGAAATAAAGGTTGTGTTTGTGACAAGCTCAAGGGACAGAGAAAAACTGTTGATAACAAGAAAGGTGAAGCACATGCAAAGATCAAGGGTCTAAACTGCCAGATAAGCAAACTGTTGGCCTGTGTTCATAAGTAAATAGGGTCTTCTGCGTGTGTGTGTGTGTTTGAGTGCGAGTAAATCTGCATGTTTGAAGTGTGTGATTAATATCTTTTCAGGCTTTGGAACCCCATTTCCTCAAGAAACGCCTGAAGGGTTATTATTTACTCTACCTTTTCTCCCGTCTGTCTCTCTATATACCAAACGCACAAAAGAGCCACTGCATAGAGCAAGACACAAGCCCTCATACTGTTCTGTGTATGTGAGGGTGCTGTGCATCTTATCCTAAAGAAACCTGTTATTCTATTTTTTTCATTTTTTCTTCACAACTGATTGGAATAAACATGGAGATACAAACATAAAAACACACCAACACAGACATGCTTTGTGTGTGTTGGTCTATCTCATCAGTGCACAAAGGCATACACACAGACATACACACACTTGATCGCTCATCAAGGACAGTACTGAAGATCATTATATACATCTGGCCTCAATGCAAAAGATATGCAAAATGTAAGATGAAAGGTAGAATCAACATAGTCATGATTTTTTCAAACAGTCTGTAATCTGACTACGGGATCTTTTCTTAAGAATCCCTCAATCTGGATACAAAGTTTTAACCAATGACAACGAAACCTAACCATGAAGAAGATGATTGATTGATATTGATTGATAGTACTTTATTGTCAGATGTAGTCTGAAATTTGTCTTGCCACACAGCGGCTCCATTTGCAACCTAAAAATTAACACAAGATACAAAGATACAAACATTTGACACAACATTCAAACACCAAACAAATACCCAGAGGCCCTAAACCTGCTTTGATCTGGGATTCAGCTCCACATTCAATTTTAGAATTGACTGGTAAACAAAAGATTAGAAGCTCCCCTAATCTTATCCAAGCAGTAATTCAACCCAAACCAAGATGTTTTCTAACCTTAAGGAGTTACTTGCTGATTTACTGTGAACCAAATCCTATTTTGAATTGATATTGATTCACTAAGAATACTCTTCATTTTCCCTCTCAAGACGCTGCTAGGTTTCTAACCATAAAGTAAACCGTTTCAAAAATCAAGTTTTTTTTCTTGTTTTGAAAATATACACAAGGAAAGATTTTGAGGACAGACCTGAGCATTTTCAACCAGAACCCTTTGTTGTTCCAAAGTAGTTTTGACAGAATGGTGTAGAGTGCTAGAGTGACAACGTTATATTACTGTAAATCCAGGAGGTTAAATCCTCTTTCAGAAAGCGATATGTCCAAAACCTTTCAATTCTAGGGTTTATCTTTCACCATATAAAATCTAGTATGACAGAATAAACTTTTTTAAAGACAATCTTTGGTGGGGTTATCAGTACTGTCAAGAACAGAAAAATACATTTAGGATGCTACATCATTTTGAATAAATTGATAGAAATTGAATGGAAATTTAAACCATGTAGTCTTGTCAGATTTCATGTTAATGAGCAATGGAATATAATGATCTTTATATACAGTATGTTATACTTATTTTCTTTAACGACACATCCTTAATATTAGATACTAGTGGTCCACCTTAATGCTTGTTGTGAGGTAGGTACTGTGTTTTTGGATTTCCCTATTGCCATTATTTCTGTTTTCCCATATTCATTTTATAAATGGTAAATGGGCTTGAGCTTGTATTGTTTTCTTGTCTTCTGAGGATATACTTAATTTCTATTATATACAAGTGTGAAAAATCGCATATAAAGCCTTTATAGGGCTTTTATACCGCAGGTTGCACCTACCTATCCACACTCATTGACACACTGATGGCAGAAGCTGCTACGTATGTAAAGTGACTCATTTGTGAACTAATTTCTCCCATTACTACACATTCACACTCCGCTGACGAAGCAGCCGGAGCAATTCGGGGTTAAGTGTCTTGCCCAAGAACACATCAGACATGTGGCCCGACCCTGTTAAGACACGACCAACTCTACCAACTGACCTACATCCATCCCATATAACCTGAGACCAGTGAATATTCTGAGATAAAATTTAGCAAAGGCTGTATAGCATTTTTGAAATTAGTTAAGTACAACTAAAGATCATCCGCAAATACATTTTGTTTATATTTTTCTTTACCTATTGTGACAACTGTCTGATTTTCTCTGCCAAAAGTTCTATAGCAAAAAGGAGCAGAGCCCTTTTTGTATTTCAAATATCAACTGTTTTATCAAGTTTGATGAGGGCAGTACACAACCAGAGATGCTTTCTTAAAAAAAAAAACCCAATGTCCTTCACTGGAATTACATACAGCAATACTGCCCCCTTGTGTATAATCATAATATTGACATCAGGTTTATAAACACCTTAAATAAATAGGCATCATCCTATCTTCAATCCATATATTTGAATTCAACTGTATGAGTATTAACCTTTTTGTATTGTTATGTAGAGAAAGTAATTCACTGATCTCCATTAATGGAGTTGATAAAAGCAACCACTATTCATTAGTATCAAAATGTCTTACCAGTCATCTTGTATCCACTGGCAGCCAGCTGTCCGGCCATGTACTCTCCGTCCGAATTGTTATGACTGCAGCCCCACGTCTTCATCCAGATTTTTTGTGTGCCAGGGATAAAACTAAAAAAAAAAAATCAAAAAATGAGATTTGTCTTGTTATCCAATATGTAGTTGTATAATATCAATATACACATGTGTTATTTCATTATCCAACATCAAAGCTTAATAAAGCCTTTTCAGACAAGGACTTTCCAACATTAACCCATTCACTGTCACCACATGCCTTAACACTGAGTGTAAGGGTGCTTTCACACCTAACCTCTTTACATTAGCCTGGTGGTAAAACTGTAAACCAAACTCTTATGAAGACCAAAGAAGGAAACTGAGTCTGCTGCTGTGGCTTGCTTGTAGCGTGTAACATATAAGTATAAGAATGACACTTGTTACCTCTGGCTATACCAAAACAAAAAAGAACACAAGTCTAATAACACAGACCAAGATACTTTTAATTATGTTAAAAATGAAGTCAGTAGAGTAAAATGTAGGAGTTTCTGGAAAAAGAAATACAATACACATAAACTATAACAAGAATGATACCCCTCAATCATCTTACAAACCACAGAAGTGTGTGGCGCTGTCAGTATCTGTAGATACCCTGCTCTCTGCTTGTTTTCGCTAATTTCATTTTTATTTTACTGTGATAAGGACATTCCTCGGTTTTCCTTTTTTTTTTTACAGTGGTCTGTATTTGATTGATTTCTCAACTAAACAAATTAAAAAAGACAGCATTGCAGTAGGGTCTAGTAAGACTCTGGCTGTGTATTTTGTGCTTCTGAATGTAATCGACATGACACAATTCAAAAATATGTTGTTTAATTTACTCCATTTAATATCACTAACTCTGCTCACTCTTTTTTCTCACCCTCGAGGAGGCAAAAAGCAATATTAAATTAGCGCTAGTCAGACTATTTCAAGGCGCCATATTTATGTCGCTGTGAAGTTCGCCTTCAATTTGAATGTTGCGGAGGCATAATGGTGGGAAAAACTGATCCCTCCTCTGTAACCGTCTTTACCTAGGAAGTATCAGCAGCGTTACAGGGGCGAGATGTGTGTGCATGTCTGACTGTGTATTTATGTGTAGCTTTCGCTGTGCCGTGCTCTCTCACAAATCCACAGCGCTGTAACGCAATTTGAATGCACAGATGTGGACCCCAAATTTTAAGCCGTTCCAGAATCAATATGAATGTCTTAAGGCTAAATTATGGCGGAGCTGCGTTACGGCAGTGTTGTGAAATTGCAGTATGTAAAAGGGCTAGCCTCTCTCAATCTCCTGGCTAAGATTAAGAGACTTTGGGTTATAAATCTGTTTGTTTCGGTTTTTCTAGTACACTTAGGACTGTCTCTACAATGAAACATAAAACAAACGGAGATTGTACAGCTTTGATACTTTTGGCACCTTAAAGTAGCCCTGATCACGCAGGATGACATGAGTTGACATTCAGTCCTGAACATTATGTTTTAGTTGAGTCTTAAAGACAGACTAAACTAAAAGTAACTATCGATTATTTTTATAAACAAGGGAATTCTTTTCACATTTTTTTTATCTTTTAAAAATTTGATTAAGGAAAACACTTATATCATTGTTAGATATCCCCCAGATGTACCAAAGTCCAACTGATGAACTAAAAAACCTGAGTTAAGAACATACTGATTATAAAAAATTGCAGCTTTCTTGACTCAGGTAAACTATTTTTATAAGTTCTAACTGACTAACTATAGCCCTCAAAAAATTGCAATTCCACAGCTGACACATTGCATCCCTAATGGCCTAATGTTGGTGTCGCAGTGTGCAAGTTCACATTGCAGTATGGTGTTGCGGAAGCACAAGAGGCCCTGCATGTGAACACACAGCGAGAGCTTCACTTTCACACACACTCACACATGGCACCGATCTGCCTTGCTGGCTCCAGAGTTACACTTCACCAACGTCTTCCCCCCATTACGCCTCTGTTTCTACCTGCAATGGCACATCTGGGTGATATCACTTCATCACACCATTGTGCCTTTACGTGGTACACTTAGCATGACAAACGTAACAGTGGTGTAAGTAATCCGCCTTCAACTGGCAGTATGTGAAGAGCCATATTTTTAGATTATATCGACCCATAATCAGCCTAAGACATTCTGTAAAGAGAGCCAATATCTCAAAAACTGACGTCATCAACTTCTGTACCCCTAAATCAAACCTTTGACAAACCTGTCAACTTGGAGCTCCTCAGTGCTTGGAAGATCTTTTTTCTTTCTGGACCTGGTATAATACTCTTTCTAGCAGACTGTCTCTCATGAGGAGTGGGGTCGTTTGAAGACACCATATCCTCGATGTCTTCAATCAGCGAGTCACAGGCTGAAGGCATGATGCTCTGGAAGTGAGAAAGAATGGATCAGTGCAACATTATTCTATTGGACCCTGTAATCTGGAAACACTTAAAGCTAAACAAAAATTGACCACAAAACAGTTTTATTCTATCACTACATAAAGCACAGCAGTGTATTAAATAAAACATGTACAATTTAAAATAATATGAAATGCAATTTCTTTAAATCTAGATGAATAACAGCCTTCATTATAACAAACTACTGATTATGCAACCAAGGTAAAGATGTTTTCCCCCAATAACAATAGATAGCACCATCATAGTTTTCTCTGTTAGTAATGTGCTAACAGCTTGTTTTCTAGCCAATGGGAATGGTTTCTGATTGTATATCTTCTTGAACACATAAAGGCTGAAACCTCATTTATGATGGTGTGTTTGGATGTTTATGTCAGAATTGTCAAAAAACATTATGCTTAATTCAAACACTATCCCCGTCTTAAAAATCACACCTGAACTGCAGAGGTCATTATTACCTCCTTGATAAAAGAGGTTGACATAATCATGATGATAAGAGCTGAGCACCTGTGACACACACCTTAGTTAATTAGACCTTAAAGCTCCTCAGATCAACTCTGCCATGGTTCTTGATCATTCTTACAGTTTTTAGTGTAGTTTGAAACTGCATTTTATTGTTACACTTCATTTATTTTTTATTGATGCTTTGATAAAGAGGCATTTTAGCTACAAAACATGTGTTAAAAATGTGATTACTGGAGAGACAAGAGGCAACTAGTCAAGAAACAGCAGCTCAGACATTTAACATGTGGCGTTGACGTGTTATCAACTGTTACCATGACAACAGTGAATAAGACTCACTAAAGGCCACAGGAGCTTTCTTATTCATAAACCGTAAAATAAAGACTTACCACAACATGTCTTAGCTACTGCTTTTATATTACATTTTAAAAAGCTGCGACCAATAATAAAAGGCAACCCAGTCGCCAGTAGTCACTTTCTTACTATTGAATACAAACATTTCATACATGCGACTTGCCGCATATGCATGCGCTGATTGTCAGACATTTGAAACACCTTTAATGCTTAAACTGGTTGAACACTAGCAACCTGAAGATATTTTTAGTGTGACATAGGAAAGCTAGCTATTAGCTTGGCTAGCCTCGTTAGCTAGCTCCTACCCACGTGTCCCTTATTTTGGAGGGGCGAGCCCTGAAAGTTGTTGTGTAAATATCTTACCTGGGTTGCAATGTTGTTTTAAGTCAAGATAAAAAGAAGTTCCGAGGGAAATACGTTTAATAAATGGAACAATATGGTTGTTTACACCATCAAAACAGTTACTAAAACTCTCAAGCCGCCATACTTGTGCGTAGTTACGGTAAGTGAAGAGGGACAAACTAGACGTACAGAGCGACGTAGCGAATATGACCGTATAGTAGAGTTTGGGCGGTAAGAAGAATGTGAATATTCAAAGCCTATCACACATTTTCTCTATACCTATAAATTAATTGTTTAGCAGTCACAAACAGTTCTTAGTAAGAATTTTCCCCATACACAGTTATAAAGGTTATCATGCCATATGTTTGCAGTAATATTTACAGTCTATGGTTAAAACAGAATCGACCAATTTAAGAGCACATTTAAGTGGTTTTGCAAAATATATATTTTTTTTAAACTGTATTGATCTCGAGGCGCTATATTATAGTGTGATCACGTATAGCTTACAATTGGTTTCAGTAAAGGAAATCATAATTTATAAACATATACAGGTTTCTATCCATACGTATGTTTTTTTAAGGATATTTTTCACCCTCAAGTGTCTCAGAAACTGTGGCCAGTGTTTAAACTACCTGTGTGCATGTGGACTATTCAGTTTTGTTTATCCAGTAGCCTACATCTGATATCAGACATGGGACAGTTGATGAGGACCTGGGTGCAAAGATGTTGCAAAAATAATCACATTTCCTATGAGCCCCCTCCTTGCATCCTTAGCTCCACTGTCAATATTTTAGTTTAAACATTGCTGACCGTTTTTTAATTTCTGTGTACATCTGCAGTATTATGCCCTACATAGGGAATGGCAGCAGCTGTACCTGTCTTAATAAGGACCAATGAGCACAAGCTTTCAACTATAGGGCATAAGCATTCATCTTAACCCAAAAAAAAGGAGCAAACAAGTCCGAGACCAGCGAACGTGCCCTTTTCTGATCATTTTCCCCCTCACTAAGATATTGGTGAATGAAGCCCACAGCACTTTTCTTAAATGTTATGTCCAAAATGTTTTGCTGTAGTTATTTATCACTGCAGTGCATTGTTGCATGTAAAGATATAAATAAAAAAAAGCTATATTTATATTGCCTTTATTCAAATTTCAATTACAAACACCCATAGTACAAAAACAGATCCATTGACCACCCACCCCTCCCCCGACAGAAAATTCCTCATTTAACAGATGTTAAAGAAAAATGTATAACTGAATAACACACATCAAAATTCATCACATTAGTTCACCTTAAACATTCAACAGCACAATGATACTTTCACTCATGTATTCAAACTCCAAAAAAGAGGGTAATGTCTAATAACAGCAATTTTGTACAGTCCTCAGTGGAAACAGGCAGCAGTATCATAATTTGTTTTTCAATTCCCTCCTTCCAAATAGTTTACCTTTTACACAACCTTTACAGATCAGTACATTGTATTTGGTAACAGCTTAAGAATAAGCATAGAAAAAGAGCAGGAAGACTACATCAATATCACATTTAGCCTAGTGATAACTTTCTGTAAATTCTAATCCCACTTAAGAATCAAACATGAGTGTCACTCTTAAAACATCTTCAGAATGTAATGTTGCTAGCGATTGAATTGGTTGAATTTTCATTAAATTCTCTTCTAAGGGATAATATTTCAAAACATTTGGTTTCCATTATGTAAAAGTGGATAAACTTTGTGACCAGATTCTGAGTGCTTGAGATAGGATGGCAGAAAATCGAATATTAAAGGTTAGTCCACCAAACTGTGGCAAGTGAACCAAATGGAAAATATATCAGGCTTAAATCTTTGATAAATACACATAAAGCAAACTTGTATAAATAGGACAATTGTTCTTTGAGTCACAAAATATCTGTCCAAATAATTCAATTCTTTCTACTTATGATGTGAGCTTTAATCAAGTCAATGGGTGAATTTCAGTTATTGTATTGGGCTTGGATTGTTGCAAAGTCAAAATTATGTTTGAATACTCTCAAAGCAAGGGAACCAAAAATGAAGAAAAAAAAAAAGTTTAACAGACTCCCTTAAATCAACATAAAACGGACACACAGTGTCACAGAAGCAAAGCCTCCTACACAAAACAGCAGAGGAGTCCAGTCACTGATCCTGGTTCAGCTGTGATTTTAGAGATCGAAAAATATCTCATGTCCAGAAACACCAGGAATAAGCAGATAAGATGCCGATGAAATATTGACTGCATGCGTCTTTCAATTTTGCATCAAAGCAATGCTCTGTATTTTATCAAATAACACTGACAAAAGAAAAAAACTAAATAACTTATGAAACAGGTTGAATAAACAAACAAATTTGCATTCAATTTGTACACTTCTCTTTCCAACAATTGTGCAACCAAAATGTTCTTATTCAAGATGCATGACACTGTTTGAAGAGCAAAGGCAAACTCTTTTATACTTCAGGGCATGAGTGAAATCTTGCACATATCAGTAAAGAAAAGTGCGATGTAAAATCCAACATCACATTGAAATAATATAAGATTAATTTTTTTTCTATGACAAAAGGGAATTCAGAGATTCACACAAACGCACACACACACACACTCTAAGGCATTTATGCCCTATAACTATTGTCCAACATTTAGTGGGAGGTAGCCTACAGTACCTTGTGCACTGAAAATTTTTAGAAAACTGTACATCAATTTACACATGGCAGGCTTACTCTTTAGCAAGCTGGATCTTTTGACATATCTCTCACACTCTGCACACGGACTTACTCAAGCGCACATCAATCAAGCTGGGTGGGGGTCAACATTAACAGCAGCAATACCACCTGCAGGAGCAGGCGTCTCTAGTTTAAAAGCCAGGGTTTCATACAAGATGTTTGTGTTTTGTTATCAGGGATGTAATCGAACAGAAGCTATCAGAGGTGAAAAGAAGTGATGTTTGATAAACCTAGAGAAAGATATCACACCCCCCCACAGCTTAGTTTGCAGGTTCTCTAGCTGTCCTGTCCTGATCAAACACTATTAAGACACCGAGTTGAGTTGTCTCAGTCGCCTGAGTTGATGACAGTTTTCACAGGCATTGTATGCAACATAGCTTGGTTGCACTGATTTTTTCAGAAAACATACATTTTTCTTTTTTTACCCTTTTTTTAAATTCATTTTTTTTATTACCTAGAAAAAGAAAAAAAGCCCTTCATTACATGCTGAAGTATAAATTAGTTGCCAACATGGGGCCCCCTGTTGTTTGGATGACTGTGATATCTATCGTTAGTTCTACAGTTTTTAAAATCTATAAAAATTCAACGTTTAGTCAACCTTAAAAAGAAAAATATGCTCTGATCTTGTCTCCTATACTTCTTTTAGTGCACACCAAGCAGTCGGTGCAGTCATCAGTGGTTCAAAGTTTTTTTTTTTATGAATAGCACTTCAAAGTGTTGAGGCATTAGGGGAAGTCTGGTGATGGCAGCTATTGGCCGATGAAGATTGAATAGACAGGGAAAATCAAGAAAAAGTGTGGGTCCTGAATTCACAAGGTATTGATAAATATTTCCAGTAAGAGTTAAAGTAAGAGGCATAATGACTTTTTTTCTGTGCTGTTGGCACTTTCTCTATGTTGGGGCTTTTAAAAATTAATTGAACTTTTTATTTTTTTAAGGGTAATTAATATGAAATTGCAAACTTAACCAGTAGATAACTGGTTGATAATGATAGGTGAATAGGTTAACAACAGGTCCCTTTACAGTTTAACCTGTTGCACTCTTTAAAAATATAGAAGATACAGCAAAGAGAGAAACTGTGTGCACGGGGATCAAACTAATTACCAGCCATAAGGTAACTATGTTTTGTACATTTAAAACACCATACCAAACTGTGTTCTTTAAAATAGATAATTACATCATGTGCACTTAAAACAGTACTTGAACTTCTATGATGCACAATATGTCTAAACAGTGCTTAAATGTACAAAATATTTTCTAATGTTTTGAACATGAGGCCAGATAGCACGACTAGCTTGACAAGTGTTTGTGGAGGCGCATCCTTTCTTACCTTTCATTTGTAGTCTTAAATAATGGTGTGCACCCATATTTACCCGTTTCCTTCTTACACTCCTGATTTCTAAATGTCTCTACACTTTGGACACACAGAATGCCCATCGAACAGCCAGCTGAAAGAGCCGTCATGTGCAGATTGAAAAGATGCAAATAGAAAGGAATCCTTCAGCCCCCAAAACAGTCAGCATCAACACATCTCATTTCCTAGGAGATGTTGAAGGATAGGCAACTGAACTCACTTGGACAGCTGAAAATACTTAAGAATGCAACAGGATCCTCTCAGATTCTAACAATAAAAACCCTGCCATTTTACGGAGGGCTTTGGGGAATCTTATCTGTGCATCTCGGGTGCATTTTCACTTTACCAAATAACCAGGTGATGCCAGGTGTTGTGGGGTCGTTTTCCTCTAAGTTGCTTCTTAGTTAATCTCTCAAACAGGTGGATATCCTTCCCCTCACCATTGATACTTTCCAACACAGACGTCAAAGGCTTTAAGATGTCCCAAGCTACACCAGGGGCCTAACGTAGCCTGAGACAAAGACAATTAGATACGTGTTAGCACTGACCAGTGGTGTCTTGGTGTGAAGTCATGCAAAACTGTTTATCTCGCACACCTTGAAAAAACCTGGATTTTAGTCCCACTGGGACCGAAAAAGCCCTCTGTTTCTTTTCCATTTATTAAGAATTGGCGCCCACCATCTACAGTGACAGGCATCAAAACCCAGACTTTTTCCCCATCTCTCTCTCCCATGCTCATAATTTGAAGTTTCTATTACCTAATGCTAGCTGCACAGGAGATCATCCAGGCCAAGAGAGGGCATTTTATCAAAGTCACAGGCGTCAAACAGGTCGCTGATTCCCTGGTCGTCTCCCAAACCTAAAAGGTAGTCGTCTTGGTCCAGAAGAGGGGGGCCAAGGTTTAAGAACGGTCCGAGAGCCGAAGGCATCTGATCCTCTGTCTGCTGTAGAAGACTGGTGTAAGGGGATGAGAGGGGGGAGAGAGTAGTGACGGAGACGGCGGCGGAAGGAGGAGGTGGAGCCAGCGAGGGACTGGGAGAAGTGGTTGTGCAGCCAGTGTCTGTGAAGGAAAAAAGAAAGAAAAGTGGAGTTACTTACTAACTCACCATAACCAAGGAAGTTCCTACCTATCATGACTTCGTAGGCCAAAAAAGTAGCCATGTTGAAATGTTTGTTGCACCTTTCATACTCATCAATGATGGTTTGTTTTCCTCTGAAATAGCCTTATGTTACACATTCCAGTAACAGTCAATAATGCTGCTGTGTGTGGGAGTTACTCATACAAACCTTGAATGACTTTGAGGAAAGGCGAGTTCCCGTTGATGTCCATGTTGCTGTGTTTTACAGGACTCTTGCAGTCGTTCTCATCATCAGGGCACAGCAGGACTTCTATAGGACCCTTGGTGCTGGTCAGGTGGATGGATAAACTCTGGACAGGGGAGAAACATCAGAATTTCAACAGGATTACACTTGATTTGAGGGATAATTAGGATCTATTGAAGCTTTACAAGAAAGACTAACTATTTCTGATGCCCAAAGCTGGTGTCATAAGAAGTAGTGTAACAATTCATGAGGCAGCCAATCAGATTAGCAGAAACTTGCAAGTTTAAGTTTGCTTGTTCATGTGTATTTTGAGCAACAAGTTGGGAATTTAAAGAAAATTTAAATTTAATGTGCATCAAACATAAAAACACTATTCATATCATTCCAGACTAGAAGGTCCTGTACCAACATTTGGTTTCCATACTAATGGGCTCTTGGCAAGATAATTTACCCACATTTACACACATCACAGTCCAATAAGAAGTGTCATCACAACAACGATGAAACCCTGGCTTGTGTGTTTTTTTTGTGCATGAACACATACCTCGTCTGGGTCTGGTACTTCAAGTTTGGTGTCTGTGGGCGCTTTCACAACAATAACAGTCTGATCTCTGAGATTGCCCAGCTGTTTGATGTCTTGGTATGTTACATAGGCATATGTGGAGAACAAAGGGTTAAGGAAAGAGCACTTCAATGTCAGTAAATGTTATACTTACAAAAAGATAAGGAAGCTTTGTACAAACCTTAAAAATGCAGAGGTGATTTCAGTACCACACACTTACACATACTAGTGTTACAAGCTAAATAAGCCATTCAAAGTTTTATACACCAATATATTGAAGTGAGTGAGCGTCAGCAACAAAATCAGCTTGATTCAATCGTTTCCTATTTGAGTGTTGGGAGCTGCAAGAAACACAACAAGCTGTTTTAACCCATATGCCCTGTTTCCATTTTCCTTTTGTCACTTCTATAGACATGGATGATGAATGAGAAAGGAGAGCTCAGTAAGGGACTGGCTCTTGCTTTTCTCACTTATCAGAGATTGTTAGCTTGTTAGTAAGTGGAAATAGTGAGGCAAAAATAGCAAGACATTTATTGATGAGCCTTTGGTGAGTGTTTTCATTTTAGTCAATACAAAGCACCACACTAACGTTTTTCCACCACTGCCATTCATTATTTTTTTTTAGCCAAGAGAATTATGAAAATTCAGTCAAAAGAAGTAACTAAAGAATCATTTTAACTTTTATATTACATGTCAGCTCACATCAAAAGGATATTTCTGGTTGCTTTGCAAGTCGCTCACATGCCTCATGTCCAGGCTGCATTTCTGGATGAGTTGTTCGAGTCTGTGCTCTTCTTCTCCCAGTGCAGAAACCTCTGCTGTCAGTATCTGTCTCTGGCTCAGTGCTCCCTCTACCTCCAACAGACTGCAGCCCCTGTGAGTGAGAGTGAAATAAAACCAATACTATTCAGACACAGCTCTGGAGAAGAAACCCCTGGCTCCTGAAGCGATACTTTATCATCAATGCAGGCATGAGAAAAACCATCTAGTCCTTTATTAGCTGACAACTAAAGAATTGCTAACTACGACCTTGTTTATATTAGCATAGTGCTGCTAAAGTGGTCTGCTAATTAATCAATATTTACTGTGCAAACGTTTAAAAGAATCTAACATTAGGCTTGTTCTTTCACTCATGCTGCCAGTAAGATAGAAATAACGTAACTGTTACATTACAAGCGTTAACACATCCAGTGGCTTACCTAGGCAAATATAAACATTCAAAATGTTCAAGTCTGCCTTACCTCATTTTACATTTTTCTCTTGATTTTTTTCAAGTACTTGTGAATATTGTTTACCTTGTATAAATTGTAATAAATATGAATATTCTAGGAATACTGTAAATAAGAAAGAAATATGATACATTGAAATGATTGATGTGATGGTAAATGTTGGTCTTTTATGTCAATTTCAGTATAATGTGATATAGTATTAAAGAAAGAAGCATTATTTTATTATACTGGTGTATAAAATCAAAGATCAAAGACAAGGCAAGTTGATTTTGAGTTAGATATCACAATTCTCAGACGCCAAGCCAGCCATTTCCAAACTTGAGACTGCCACGTCCCACTGAGGAAATAAAAATTGGGCAAAAATCGGCCGGATTAGCTTGTAGTCTGTACCCCGCTTAATTTCCAAAAGAATCGTCATAAACATTAACTTCTGTCATGCCGCGCTGCAGCTCAGTATAACTCAGGTTTTCTGCTTACACATGTTTCACTCAACCCTGATGATTGTTTGGTATTTGGTGCAGTCATTTGAAAAATAAAATCACTTTAGCTACATGCAATTTTTGTTGGTTTTTGTTCATAACAGATTTATGTACCATTGCTTGTCATACATTAAGGCAGATATTATTGTGAATAAAAGATGGGATTGTACTTGTAACCTCAAATAACCCCTGTATGGCACTAATGGGCTTCTAATCACTGCAATACAGAAGGAAATGAATTAAAACATTGTATAGGGATGCTGGTGGCGCAGTGGTTAGTGCGCGCGTACCATGTATGGAGGCTGTCGTCTCAAGCAGGCGGCCCGGGTTCGCCTCCTGCCTGTGGCCTCCTTCCCGCATGTCATTCCCCACTCTCTCTCTCCCTGATTTCCGACTCTATTCACTGTCCTCTCTATCCATTAAAGGCACAAAAAGCCCCCCCAAAAAAACATTGTATCTGTAGAGTTATCTGAATCATTTTCACCCCAGAAAAGGAAAACCAGGCCTTCAATTTGAAATGTTGTATATCTCATAAACCTATAAAGAAACATTTAAACAGCTCAGGAGTCTCATTTATAAAACAGAGCGTAGAACCTGTAATAAAAGTGTACATGCAGCTAAAACTCAGGAATGACATTCGCCCCAAAATATTCAGATTTATAAAACCATTCATACACACACCGGCATGCAATGCTCCCTTTATAGAACGATAGACATGTTCCGCATGTGATTCAGCCCCCATAAGCCACCCTCTACACGCCCAAATTCAACCATAAACGGTCAATGCAAAGCACCTCATGAATGAAAACGTATACAAATGAGCAGCGCAGCTCAAAGGTTACCAGCACTGAATCAAAGCCACAAACCAGAAATAAGACGTAGAAAATAAACATTCTGCCGCAGAAATGGACATCGGATTGCAGCGTCACTAACTACAGACAAATCTGAGAATGACACTGCAGCAAACATCCTCCGTTAAATTTAAGGCACAAGTGTATCTGCAGTGTTGACATGTTTCCAGGAGCATCAGAGATTCTTCATAGGTCAGAGTGCTCATCTCAGTTAATCGTCTCTCTCACTCTATACTATCAGTTTGTTTGCTGAACAAAAACTTTTAAAACCACAACATTTATTTAACACCAACCTGAGAGAGACACACAAAGACTTTTGACTCCCAACAAACACAGCTCTGCAACCTTGGTGTTTTAACATGAGAAACCAACATAGTTGCTCCTTACTTGTGCAGGAACTAGCTCGAACTATGGACATTTGTCTGCTCTGTTCGGTGCCCTCATTGAAAAACAAGAGAGGGATACTAAGTACTGGAGAAGTAGGAAAACCATGAGAAACCGAACATGTCAGTGTTTAATTCATCCTTTCATGAAGAAACTTAAAAATACAAAGACTAGTTTTAACAGATGCTTGGGTCACCAGGAATAATAAACGTTCTCTGTAACAAGATGAAAAACCAGATATGTAGAGAGAAGAACCACTTACATCCATTGAATGTTGTTCTTTGATTTCTTCTTGATGAGGTGAATACCTTCTAGCACATTGGTGATGTCATACAGCCGCCTTTTCTGTACCTGAGGGTGGAGGATATAAGTTTCATTGGTTTTATTTGTTGGTTGATTTAAATGTTGGGGGCGGAGAGGGGGAATAATCCCAAACATCGGTATCAAAGCTTTGAACTGTTATAGACATTCATGATGCCCCCCAATGTTGCCAGTATTAAGAATAGTTCAACAGTTTTGTCAGCATCACTTACAGTGTTAAAGAAATGTATTTTATTATTAGGTTGCTTCTTTATATTTTCTATTCAACTACTTTGAATGTGAAATTACCTGCAAGGTTTCAGCGGCAAGATTGAGGTCCAGAACGCCATCTGAAGACTGAGCGAGGAGTTCCACAAACTTCTTTGTTAACAGGCCCAGGGAAGTGTCGTACCGCGTTTTCTCTGGTGGAGACTTTGGCGCTATGATGCAAGCAGAGCAATGATTAAATACAGAATAGGACCATTGAAATTCATGCAATAACATCAAAGGGCTGTCAATCAATGGTTTAAACATATATATTGTGAAAAAACTAACGTGACCAGTTAAGGCTGTAACTTTTCTGTTACTTGATTGGAAGAAGAAAACATGCCAGTATCTTGTTTTTTTTTTACAATTCTAAAAAAGGAGATTCAGTTTGATATCACATTAGCATAGCCCGTCACTAGAGCACAGGAGGAATAGACCACTGAGCATGCATAGTTTGCATGTGATGCTTCTGCTTTTTGAGAGTACAAGAGTGTATTCTCTCTCAGTAGCACCTTGTTCCAGTGCTGCTTGAAACTGTGACTACATGTGAGGATCATGCATGATGCATGTCCTGCAGACTTTATCACTTAGTTTAGTGTAAGTCAACAAGTAGTAGGACACGGTGAGCCTTGTTTAAAAAGGTCCCTTTTAAAGGGATGGTCTCAAAGACTAAACTAGGGACAGCAGCTAATGGGTTACACTATTATGCACTACCCCAGTTTAAATCATCACAGTTAACTACCGTAAAATCTTGAATATAAGTCGCACCAGTATATAAGACCAATCGGTTTTTGGAGGTTTCCCAGAAAGAAAAAAAGGTTTAAACTGTCTGCTGAACACAATATAAATCGGCATGTAGGCAAAGTCCACAACGTGCAGTTTGCGAGCAGCTGTGTTGCTCTTTTAATACCATCTCTTTTCGCTTTGTGGCGTTTGCACTCCTACTAGCGACAGTACGGTAGTTGAGCTCTCAGCCTACAGGGAAAGTTGGCAAGTATTTATAGCCCCCTGATTCGTGCTGCCCGACTCCGCTGGTCACTCTTTAACTTTAATATAGGACTATTTAAATCAAAAGAGCACAAGATTTATTTACTGAACAATATGTTAGTGTTTTCTTTAAATGCATTCGAGAGGGAGAAAATATGTGAAAGAACTGTTCATTTGCACATGTGGACTTCAGTTACTGGGTACTGCACTATATTAGCTTTTCATAAAAGAAGCATATGGATAGTTCATATGTAGTTGACACATGATTTTCTTTTCTTTTGTTTATGCACTTGCAGGGTCCAAAATGAACACCCGCCAAGTGCCAAATGCGGGTAGATTTTCCGTTTTTAGCGAGTACTTTTCAGAGGGCTATCCGCCACAGGGCGGGTAAATGTTTTATCAAAAAGTCATAAAAACTATGCTACAAGTATGAAGCGCGTTAGATGTTGCTGCAGCTACTTGTCTCTACTCTCTCTGCTGTCATGACTGTGAGCATCGCAGGGCACACTGAGACCTACTGCCTACAAATAATACATTTAAAAAAAAAAAAAATATATATATATAGCAGATATATTTTTTACAAATTCTCAATTTCCCGATCTGATAAAATGATCGAATCCGTGACTTAAATCTGTTATTGATTAAACAGACCATAATCCCTTCTCAATTAAATGTACTGTAACAGATGTGTATAGGACACAAAAACACAATTTGTTAATTTGGCGGGTAAAAAATGTGTTTGGCCAGTGAAATTTTTCATCTACCTGCCACCTTGGCCGGTGAGTCAAAACGTTAATTTCAGACCCTGTGCACTAAAATGTCAAGAAATACACAAATTCAAACATCCAGAATTAGATTAAATATGTGACACATGCTGATGCATTTAAGAATTGACCTCTTGTTTGTTTTACTGGAATCTCATGTTTGGTTAAAGGAGGGATTAGGCAAAAGTTTTGACAATTTGCAGAGGCATAATGGGGGAACGAAGAGAGAGAGAGAGAGCGAGAGCGAGAGAGAGAGAGAGACAAAGTGATCCCCCCTCTACCCCTCTATACTGTCTTCAGAGTTAGTAACAGAGGCGTTACAGGGCGAGATAGATGAGCAAGCGGGGCAGTGTAGCACTTTGTGTTAGAACTTATCTGACTGTGTCTGTATGTGGAGCTTTCAATGTGCTGTACTTCCACAACTCCGTAATGCAATGCTAATTCAGACTGGGACACAAATTCTAAGCTGTTGAGGAATCAATTTGAATGTACAAAGACAAGATGACGGCTGTTACGCAGTCTGAAAAGGGCTACAGAGAGGTAGAGAGATGCTGTCCTGTTAATAATGATTCATGCACTGTCCTGTAAACCTGATTTTTTTTTTTATAATAATTTGAGAATCTTCACTGGTAGTATATTTAACAATTAAATACAAAAAAAAATTAAAAAAATAAAGCCGTTCTCACATCTGTATTCCTAAAATCATCTAGATCATTTCAGGAGGACTGCTCCTCCCTGTCAGACGGGAGGGGGTGCGCGAGTCTCCTGAGGTAAGACAGGACGTTAAAAATGACGCAGAAGTAGCGGACGAAGAAGCTGAGTCTGCTATACAACGCTATAATGACAATATTTGACTTTATATCAATGCTACGTGTAGTTCAGCGAAATCACACTATTAACAAAAGAGCGAAGAACAACATACTGACCAACAGAAAACGTAATGCATTTGTTTAATTTCATGCACGGAGATCGTAGCGATCACATGTATATACTAAGCACCATGCAGCAGTCACAGTATATAAACGTCACTCCGACTGCTATTGGCTCTAGGTGAATTCTCCAGATAGTATCCTGCGTTCTCCGATCAGCTCACTCGAACTTGCTGCAGAACCAGAAATAAATACTCTCTCTGGTCAGTTTTGTGCTCATTTCAGAAAGTTTGTGTGGTGTCTTTGTATTGGAAACATTAAAAGCTGCAGTGCTGAGGAACTAAAGCTGAGTCACTGTCGTTCTTTTTCCAAATCAGGAAATACTGGAAGTAAATCGAACAATTATGACCAGCTGTAAATTTGTGATTTACATAAAAGGGCGATCTCAAGCTAGCAGGGTCCAAAATTGTCTCTCAGGTATCTCCAACATATTCAACTGCAAAAGAATAAATAACTTATGAATAAATTCTGATTCTTTTTTCAGTTCCAGTCATATTTCTGAAGACCATGCAGCATAGAACTGAAAGGACTAAATAGTGAGTCAGGGGCCATCTGGCACGATAATGCGGGGTCATTTAGTTTTGTTTTTTGTGTTGTCACAACTGTATAAATAAATTAATCAGGCAGAATGGGGAAGTAAGTTTTGTATTGTGTGAAAAAAAGCCAAATCAGATGATAAATCTGTTTTTGACACAACTAATACAGGAAGAATATAAATCACAAGTATTACTAAATATAATATTGTGAAATCTGGAATATAAGTCACACTGATGTATGAGATGCATCTCGTCTCTCAAACAGAAAAAAAGTTTAAACTGTCTTCCTGCGGCACAATTTTAATTGTGTTCACCGAAGTCGACAACGTGCTGTTTCTGTACAGCTGTGTCGCTCTTTTAGTACAGTCCCTTTTTCTGCACTACTACTAGCTACAGTACAGCAGTTGAGCTCTCAGTCTGCAGTGAATGTTGTGAGATAAGCTTGTGAGTGCTCTGCCTGACTCCGCTGGTCACTCTGTAATTTAAATATATTCAATCAAAAGAGCACTCGAAAAGGTTTATTTACGGATCAATATAACCCTGTTTTCTGGAAATGCATGATTATGAGCTTGTGACCGAGAAAAGATGTTTAAAGCAGCGCAGCCAGCCTGGTCTGTGTCGCTATCTTTCCCAGCACAGTGTTTAATCAGTTTGCAATACACAATGAATGTGGAAGAATTTCCAAACAAGTCAAGTCGTGCACAGTATGTGATGGCAGTGTTTCCCATTAATTAACTAGACTGTGGCGGCCCGCATAAGAACATTTAAAGTACAGTTTACCCCGTTAAAACTGCACCGCTCAGCTGCTCACCTGTTGTCACTGGATGGTGGTGGCGTCACCCACAGTAAAGACAGCATTTTATACTGATACATTAGTCGCACCGGTGTATATGATGCAGCCAACTTTTTGGATGAAAAAATAGGTATTAAGGTTCGAATAACTATTCACTGGATTTTACAATTTAATTATTTTAAATGAGTGTTAAATTTCTATGTTGTTTTAGAGCAGAGTTAAACCTTCCACTTAAAAGTGAGAACTGAATGGTAGTCCTACTTGATTATGTCTGGACCAGAACAATGTCCACTGTTTTAAACTGAATGAGAACACTGAACATGTCTTTTTTTTTTACATAATCAAACAGACTTTAGTGTATATGGAGGGTGAAGGAGAGTTCCTTACTTCTAGGTGTCTTTATCCTCGCCCCATTGGTCACCCCAGCACTTCCTCTGCCTCTTGGTGTCCTGGTTGGTTCTGATTGGTACTGGTGGTCTGAATCATCAAGCGCCAAGCGCCTTTTTGCCTAAGACAAGTAATACAGTTAATACAATACAGTTGACAACAAATATGGGCGTTAACATTGCTTTCAAAGAATCCCAACTTCAAAGCCAGATCCACCGATATGCGATTATGAATGCATCATTACTTCTATCATAGTTTTCCAGTGTCTGTTATCTCCTGTGATCTAAAGCATAACGCAAATTATATGTCAAATCTGTTGAAAGTGTAATAACTGTGTGCTACTTTGTACATTTTAATGTTGAACTCCTCAGGCATTAGTTTGGTGAGGAAATCATTCTTGAGTTGTTTTTCCATTTCAGTTTTTATAAAGGAGTTGATATTGTGTCATAAAGTTCAAGAGATAAGAGTCCCTTCAGTTGAAGTCCAATATCACATGGAAAGAAAATGCCAATCTAATGATGTGGCACAAAACCAGTGGCTGACATTTCTTAACTCACTGGCCGGGGCAAACCAAACCCACATTGCTTAAAAGTGACTCACACCCAATGCTTTGATCACATTACATAGTTATGCCAAATTAAACTAATACAGGCCTGTTTATAGGCACCAGATATCTCCATAACAAAATGAACCGAGTAGGTACATGACGCCTTCAGAACATTCTGTGCATTTATTAATCAAACCCCATCAACAACATCTTTCTGAAAACTACTTTTAGGAGCTTATTGTCTAAAATAATGCTGCATTTGAAATGTCAATACCATCCCCCCTTTCCTTCAGTGATTAGATTGACAATGACTGCCTGTCAAAATCAGTTGTACTAATGTAGTTCTTGTGAGGCGTATGTGTTAACTATTGGTTTAAAAATTGAGGAAGCATTTCTTCTTAACCACTTTTGGAACATGTTTTTGGTTTCTATAGCCTCAATCTGAAAGCTTTATGCATAACCCAGTTGAATCCTCATTCAAGTCCCAGTAAGTGTTAATGGTCATGATGGTCTGGTAGTTTGCAGTCTCTTCAATCAGTGGAACCTTGGACTTCAGGAGGGGCTTGAGCCCACCCAGTTGTAGTTTCTTGGAGTAACACACCAGGACCAGGGTGATGGTCCACTGCATTTCCCTCTCAAACCTCTTGAGAGGGAATAATTCAACAAACTATCATGACATTTAGTATTTTGTGCACAATTATAACCATCTTTTAAAAAAGGTGTTCACTTCATTTAGCCCAAGTTGAAGAAGAAAATAATATGCCCTCTGTTGACAGTCAAAATGTCAGCCATTTTATATCAGCAGACATCTCCCCCAACCCCCCTACATGCTCGTGGCTTCAGCCTTGGATTGTGGGGCTGCTTTAGTTCATAAAAGAGAAATAGCCAGAGAAAAACCAACACCCTGAATGTTCCTGTGACGACTTTAGTGTGGTTTGTGCAAGATTCAGAGTACAGGAAACGTGCAAGTCAGCACTAAAGCAAAAGTCAAGTTTCACTTTCCATGGCATGAAAAGCCCCATAACCTTAACACTTTTATTTACAATAACAGGGGCATGAAACACAAAAAAAATAAGGTCGAGGATGTCGACGAGGAGTCATTTGTACCATCCAAATACTGTTGCTAGCCTTGAGAGCTAACACATTTCAAGCTTCATCCAAGTTGCATGTGCAGAGACGACTGAGAGAAATATCACTCGAGTTGTGTCGAACTGAAGCAAACCTCTTGACACTAATATGAACATAAGTTTGCAAGTTTAACCACTCGTTGCTTAAAAGAAAAGCTACATGTGCGCTAACTAAAGAGCCAACTAGCCCAACAATCCCCCAACCCCCCAAAATTAAGACACAAACAGCAGCCACTAGGCCAACGCTAACCTTACTCATCTTACCAATATTTCCATCTGGCTGCAAGGGGGACTCAAAAGCACCATGAAGTTAGCATAGCACGACGTAAGATGACAGGTCTGCGTTTAAGTGCACAAAAAACTAACTTAAACTCAGAGTTAGACTCCCTGCAGCCAACAAAACCACTTCACTAAACCACTTGGGGTAACTTAGCTAGCGGTAGTTAGTTAGCCACCTCGCTGGCTAAGCAGCTAACATTAGCAGCCCGAACAACAAGCTCGGCTAGCATAGCAAGCTAACATCAGGCTAGTTGAAGTATATGTGTTAAAAACGAGACGTGTGGGTTATTACCGGCGGTCTTCCGAGAGCGGGCCGTTGTCCTGCTCCGTTTGCTGCAGCTTGTTGCGGAGTTGTGTAAATGTTGTTTATCTGAGGTTCAGATAAACACACATTTGATGTCTGTGTTACGTTGCAAGGTGGTGGGGTGGTAATTATTTGAAAGAAGGTAGCGTTAGGTTGACCAGGGTTTAAACGATCCGACAGAGTAGTTAAGATTATATTATTGTCCAGAGGAGAGCCCCCGACCCCCGCTAAAATCACTTTGTCCGGAGCCGAAGAGATCCCTCTTCTCATCTTGCGTACTCGGGTAACCCCTTTCTTGTCTCCGTACTTTCAAGCCCTTATGGCTGCTAATCCGTCGCAGTGGATACAAAAATAATCAGACAGAAGTGAAGATGAGAGTCTGATTCATCGACTTTTGTGTAGTATTTGTCCTGAAGATGGTGCATTTAGGCAGATGCAACGGATTAAAAAGTAGCGCAACTCTCGTCTCCCTCGTCTAGAAATGGCTTCAGGAAACGGCCTGATGAATGAAGGGATACGGTTTACGCGCTCAAGAGCCCTCCCGCGAAACTCAGATTTCCCGGGAAATTTTTAAACGGAATTTACATGTTACACGCTATTGGCCCTTGGGGGAATAGTGTCCACCCAGACGTCTCGAGTATTGACCAATAAGAGGTCAGGATTCTGTGCGCCACGTGTTCATTGGCAGATGTAAACAGGTGACGTCATCAGTCACGCCTTGCAGGTTCCCTGACAGGACGCTGAGAGGCGCAAGTCACCAACTGTGCCGAAGAGAAAACCTCTAACAACAAAGAAATCAACTGCGCCCTCTCGTTATTTAAAACCTCAGACATGTACCTCTTTTATTTGATCTGTTGTGAAGTTAACAATGAGAGCAGAGAATACAAGTATCATACCCTAAAACAATGTTTCCACTAAGACTAAAGGTTGATGTGGCTGCAGATCACTGATGCACAAGTTGCCATAACATGTAGAATGAAATAGACCCAGGTGATTTCATACAACCCCCTCCCAAAAAACGAAATACGCTCCACTCATTTTTTATATGATCATTTAATTTTAATTTATACACTTACGCAGTTTTGTATTTTATATTATTCACAGCTTCTTGGACTCTACATGTAACTCCATGTTTATCAAATGTGAGCTACGTTTTTTTTGTGAAATGTATTGGCATGTGACCTGATCAAACATGACAGATTCATGGAAAGCCCCAAATCAAATTTTGTTCTTAAGTACAATTCAGATTTACTTTGTAGACCTGCACTTGAGTATTAAATTATATCATTATTATTATTATTATTAGATATTTTATTTACTTTTCACTGTTCTTTCTTTAATGTTGTGTGTTTTAAATCCTGCTGTCTTTTAATTCTACTTTTTATCTAGCATTTAACACTTAGTTAAACTTAAATAGACTGCTTTCTTTGGGGATATAGCCTAAATAAAGTGGATTGTATTGAATCAGGATGACAGTGCCAATCATCTCCAGATCTTTACAAAGTGATGCCTTCAATCACCTATTCAAACACTCTCTGTTTACACTGTCTTGATCAGTATTCATTATAATATTTGTTTTCACTAGTTGTCCTTTAAACACATTTTTTATCGTCCCATTTTGTAAACTCATATTTAAAACCGGAAGTAAAGGGTAATAGCTCAGTAACTTTTTTCCCCATAGGCTAATACAATGCCTTACAATAGCTAAATCTACTTCTATTTCAAAATGAGTTAGCCTATATGTAGCTATTCACAAAATCAACATTTGCATAATAAATATTGAAAAATTACTCTTTATAGTGGCAGCTCTATAAGTAGGATACAATTGGGGGAAACACGACGATAATGCATCATTTTTCCTGGTTTAATTTATTTTGTCGTTTTAGTAGAAAAATGTTTTAATTTAATTTTGAACTTTCCCCGGTGAGGCTTTTATTTTGGCAGCGTTGACCGGAGAAGCTTTTCATCTTCTATCTGTCTCTGTGTGACTTGACTGAGGAGGAGGAGGAGGAGGAGGAGGAGGAGGTAGTTGCCTACAGTCGAGGGGGGAGTAGTTTAATACTTGGACTGTCACACTTTAGACTGGTTTGACAAGTCGCGGATTCACTTCACACAACAATGTAATAAAGTCATGTGAAATAGAGAGACATTTGATTAAAAACGGAAAGGAGAAAGAGAAGCGGAAACACCGAGGCGTCGGTACAGAAAAGTTAGGATGGGCGACACCACGTTTACTACCACTGGATCCAGATGGCTCCTGCCTGTCAGTGAATTCCTGAGGTTTCCTCTTGATCAGGTACGAGCCAATCAAACACTAGCCGACAGTAATTCTTCAAAGTCAGTATTTCTCAACTTATGCTCTCCTGAAATGAGTGCTGTGTATCATGATGATCTGTGTCTCTGTCTCTACTTTCACATTGATATCATGCAGTTGTTATTTCAATAAAATGCTTTTTTAGCACACCACTCCGAAATGGCATCAAAACTAAAGACTTTTCAGAGTTATATTAAATTAGCCACAGCCAGTTATTTTACTTGTAGTTGAATCCTGCACAACTATTTATCCTATACCTGTCACCTGCAAATTAATTGTATATTGTATACTATATCGTATTATTTAATTGTATTTCTTATTTGAATATTTGGCTTTAGTATTTGTATATTTGTATGTTTTCTGATATTAGGCATCTACAGGCTTGCTCCAACAATATTTCGTTGTACTTGTACAGTGACAATAAAGATATCTCATCTCATCTCATATGCTATCAAAGTGATCCTAATATTATACTCCACTCTTGTGTGTTAATGCAGACAGCAAAATATTAGAAACAGATTTCAAAATAATGCACTCCAGTTGGGCCTACACCACCACCACCCACTACCCCTTTTAAAATACATTGAAAATGATCACCGTTCTGACCATGTCAACAAAAAGTTGAAGGAAATATTTAGTGGTAATGTTTTGTAAATGCCCGTCTTAACTCCACTCTATCACTCTATCCCAAACAGGTGAATTTTTTGGCATGCCAGCTGTTTGCCCTGATTGCTGCCTTCTGGTTTCGTCTCTACCTCAGTCCCGGCCATGCCAATCCCCTGGTCCGGCACGCTGTGGCCACTCTCCTCGGCATTGCCTTTCTCATCTTCTGCTTTGGATGGTACTGCATGAATCTGTCAGCGGCAGGCTCACACATTCTTAATCTCACTGTTCACAGTTTGATGCTGCTCTTCTCCTTTTTCTTCTCTCTTCGTTTGGATTTTCTCTACTTTTCATTCAAAACAAAAGGGCTAAATGTCAGCAGCACCACAGGCTTATAGAGAAAGTATGACAGTGTTGGCAAAGACAGAATAAAGATATACTCCAGTTATGTTGTGTTGGCATTTGATCCACAAATAACAAGTTTAAGGGGGAACATGTCAAGGCTACAATGACCCCTAAATGCATCCTATCACAGACATACAGCCACCTTACAATTTAAATAATTAGCAGTGTGTTATTTCAATAATTACAAAGATGCACACGTTCTGATAACATCTATCCTTATGTGCAGGTACTCGGCTCACATCCTGACAGTGGTGGTTGCAAGCTACTTGATTATCATTCAAGCTGACATCAACAATGTACACAGGTAAGAAGAATAAGAACAGTGTGTTGGAATTTTTGGCAATGTCAGTGTAAGAAAAAATTTTAACCAACTCTAAGTTTACGCTTCTGTCCTTTGTAATTGTCTGTCTGAATGGCTGGGTTGTTTCAGATGGACAAAATGTTGTTGTATTCCATTATTAATAACCTTGCAGAAACCTTATTTGTAGACCAGCCAAGACCAGACGTGACTGTTTGAGTCATGCTGACAGATAGATGACAGAACTGTGACAACAGCAGCATCTCATTTCCAGGTGCTATTGTGCAATACTGGTAACTGTTGTCTTCAAGTCAAACTTGCCACACAAGATCAACCCTGAAACTATGTGCAACATAGACATGTGGTTGTTGAAGGGACATAATCTAGATAAAGTCACTGATATGTATGTCATTCATTTGTATTAGTAAAGTAGTTTTTGGAAGATTTATAGTTTCCTTTTGAGTTTAGCCATTCACTTACTCCCACCCACACATTCCAACTGTGACTGCAGTGCAGTGCTCCCTGCCCCACTATCTTCCTGTAATGTGGTCTGAACTGATTAACTTTTGTTGACATGAGCACGTCAGGTGAAAGGCAGCCGGACCAGTCGGCTAGATCTAATGCAGACAACATGGTTATGTTTTTTTGTGCATTTTTATTCGCCTTTTCTCAGTCATGTGCACTTGTGTAGCTCTTTGAGTACATCTCAACATTCAGTATGTGTCTTGTCTCGAGGGTGTTTTCAATTTTCATGAATGGAGGAATGAAAACAAGGTTTGGTTAGGTTGCTCTGGTATTCACATGTGAAGGAATTAGCCTGTAGGTATATTTTGTGCAAGTGGAAGCTAAACACAGTTACACAGTGTCAATTACGTTGATAGCTTGCATACCACATTACATACACCTCTTGATGGCACAGGGTTAAACAAGGTTATTTAAAAGAAAAAAGCCACCTCAGGACAATCTGGTGAACCAATAGAAAAATGTCACTCTGCTTTGTTATGATGTGAATACTTTCAGGAATTTGTTGTGGTGATCCTTAAGTTTAACAGTTTCATAATTCAATTTCATTGGAAGTTAATGTGCGATCTGCATTCATATGCTACTAAGCAGTAGCTATTTTCCAAATCAGGATACAGCCTATTTCTTTGAGTATTTTTCAACCCAGGTTCTAAATCCAATCTAATTACATGTTCATTTTTTTTATTTTAAAGCCACACATTGGTTAAAAAAGAAACCAGATTATTTATGTAACAGATTCCGTGACCCTGACAAATCAACAAGTTTAGCAGTACATGATAAATTCACATTTTTAAGGAAATATATAAGCGTAGCATATCTAGTTTTATATTTGAATGTTAATGCAAAATGGTAAATGGACATGAGCTTGTGTAGCACTCTTCGAGTCTGTTGACTACTCAAGACACTTTTTTACTCCGCAGGTCACATTCATCCATTGACACCACGTACACACACAGACGGCAGAGGTTGCGATGTAAAGTAGCCATCAGTATTAACTAATGTTGTTCACACACATTCACAGATGCAGCCGCAATACTATATCACTGCTTAACAAAGCTAGCACAAGATGATGCACTTTAACCATGTGTTGGGTCGGGGTTGTTGCTGCTGTATAAATTCAATGATGAAATCGTGAA